AAAGTTTCCTTTAACTAGTCATCTAGGACAGTTAGCTCATGTCTTCTCACAAAATAATTTATGTTTATGAATACAATAGAAAGTATTTTTTTTTAATCTTTATGTATTATTAGTGTATAACAGTTCTTTTTTGTATATTTGTTTTAATTTCTTATTCGCTTTTTCATTGTTTGTTTATAAGATAATGAATCAAATTTAACAAGTAAACTTATTCACTCTTTATCCTTTTGTTTTATTATAAAAATGTCCCAAAAATTATGATTACATTTTGCATGCATACTAACTCGATTGCTAAGCAAGTCTAGTTTAGTATTTTTTTTTGTGTAAAACAGGAGAACTTTAAGTTTTGTATTCTTAAAGACAATGGTTGAGAAGTGCCACTTTAGAAACTACCGCTTCTATCTGTAAATTCAAGCCAATGTACAAGAAGCGTTACAAATTATTGCATAAAATTGGAAAAATACGAAAGACCGGATGAGAGACTCTTTCTATCTAACGGTGTGGTACACATCTTTGACATGTCAATAGAGGACGCCATGTTCACCACAGCTACAGTAGAATTCGATGAAGATGGCGATCTCTATTGAGATTTCACCGGTACGCAATAGAGTTTCATCATACATTCACCATTAGGTAGGAAAAAATCTTGCTTTGCAAATCTAAAAATATCTAGTTCTAGTGTTAAAATCTTCCAGCTGCATTTTTATATTATTGAGAGCAGCAATATTTTTAATGAGTATGTATGAGCGTTAGGTTTTAAGAAAAAAAACGTTGAAATGCTTCCCTTTTAAACAAAGAACAGTTCTAAAATAGAATTGATCAAGAATAGAGTGAGTACGTATGTAAATTGTGATTATCATTTTGTGAGGCATCATGTATTTTGAAGATTAAAGAAGAAAAAGAGTAGAAATTACTAAGAATAGAATGCAATGAATCATATCTAAGTATATGTTGTTGTTTTTTTCTTTTCGTTTATTTAACTTTCTCATGTGAATCATAGATGTATATAAATAGAAAACTTAAGATAACAATAATAAGAAAGAGAAAGAATAAGAATAAGAAGTCGATCATTCTCACGTTTCATATCATAGATACTATCAAAAGACAAACTATTTGATAAATACATACATTTTTACACTTTTAGATACAAACTTTGGGTTAAAAAAAAACAATGCGTTTGTTTCTAAATAGCTTTATTATCGGTATTACTCTAATACCATTGGTTTTCTCAACACCCGTTTCACTAGGCGATGATTTTTATTTGCCAACATTAGAAAATATTGAATCTCATATTGATAATTTATGGGCAAATTTTAAAAAAGGTTATGATATTATATATAATACAACAACTGAAGAACTTCATCGTTTTAAAATCTTTGCTTATCATGTTCAAATGATTATTAAACATAATCTTGAACATGATCTTGGTTTGCATACTTATCGACTTGGCATTAATAAATATGCTACATTGGTAAATAATTTAATTATTAGAATAAATTTTTTCATTGTTTGTGCTTTTCTGTTTTGTTTTTTTTTGATAGACCAATGAAGAATTTCGTCAGAAATATAATGGATATCGTCGTCAAAAACACTCACGTTCACAATTTTCTGACATTCGTCGTTTACATATTCCTGCTTCACCTTATACAACACTTCCAGTATCAATTGATTGGCGTGATCATGGTATTGTAACACCAGTTAAAGATCAAGGACAATGTGGTTCATGTTGGGCATTTAGCACTGTATGTAAAAATTGAATAAAATTATCAAAATTCAATTTCTATTAATTGAATATTTTAGACTGGTGCCCTCGAAGGTTATCATGCACGATCAAGTGGTAAATTAGTTAGTTTAAGTGAACAACAGCTTGTTGATTGTTCAACAAATTGGGGTAATAATGGATGTAATGGTGGTTTAATGGATAATGCATTTAAATATGTACATGATAATAAAGGTATTGACGATGAAAAAACATATCCCTATATTGGAAAAGTAAGAATATTGATGTATTTATAAAGATAACCATGTATATAACTTTTTTAATTGTTTTTCGTTCATAGGATGAGTCAGCATGTAAATTTCGTCGAAAATCTGTTGCTGCAACGTGTGATGGTTTTGTTGATATTCCAGAAGGAAATGAAACAGCATTACAAGAAGCTTTAGCACTCAACGGTCCAGTTTCGGTTGCTATTGATGCTAGTCAAGAATCATTTCAATTTTATGTTTCAGGTATATAAAAAGAAAATAAGATATGAGTTTTTAAAAAATTTTTATTTATATTTGAATAGTTAAATAGCTAATATGTATGTTTGAGTGCTGCTCATTTTGTGTATTTTTTTTTAAAAACATTATTCTATATGTGAGAATTCGGTTGTCTTTTTCTTCTTAGGTGTTTATTCCGATGATAAATGTTCATCAGAAAATCTTGATCATGGTGTTTTAGCTGTTGGTTATGGTGTTGCTAATGATCCTGTTAAAGGTCAACAAGAATATTATATTGTTAAGAATAGGTAAAGTTGTAGAAATTTAATTCGTGTTTGCATTATTTTCTTATTCTTACTTTTTTTATCTGTAGTTGGTCAGCTGCTTGGGGTGACAAAGGTTATATAAAAATTGCCCGCAATAAGAAAAATATGTGTGGTATTAGTAGTGCTGCTAGTTATCCAATTGTTAAAGATCCATCGATAGAAAGTAAAGTGATTAATTATTAAACAATTAACTTAACGAACGGTATAATTATGCAATGATTAAATCAACATGAAAGAAAAAAAAACAATTTTGTCGTATCATTAAAATGATTGAAAGTGAATTTTCTCCTCTTGTCTTTTCTCTTGTTTCTAATGTATATGATTGATTATTATATCCTATCTTGTGATTTTTTACTTATAAAACTCTGCTATGTTCATTTTGTGTTCTTTGAATTTCTTGTTGTTTGCACAAAGTACACGACTAAGAAAATCCTCGGTTTTGCGTTTTTGTTCTACTCAAGCTTTGTTCTTGTCTTTGATTTTACAAAAAATAAAAAAGAAATTAGCTTAAATCAAGGTTTTGTATATATTTATAATCAAATTCTGACTGATCGATATAGTTAGAGAATGTATTGAATATGCTATTGTTTATTCGATTCTGTTTGTAACGAAAAAGAGACTATTTTGCTTAATTGTGGTTAGTAAAATATATCTTCATCCAGCATTAAATTTCATTCAAGCTTTCGTAGGTCTGGATACTAACTCTATCGATTTAGAGAAATTCAGAAGTTTCAAAGCGGAGCTACAGCACAAATTAGAACTTGGGTATTACAGAAAGAAATGTTTTTTTTCTTATCGATCAGTGCACATAGTAGTTTCTAAATTTGAATGAGTAACACTAATATAGTTATCTTTTTCTTGCAGAGGACGCACACGTTAGAAAAAGGAGTAAAATAAATAGTTTCTATTTTCAGTCAAACTCTATCTCAATCCCAAGTCTGAACTTCAGCGAGTAATCCGTAGTCGTGGTTGGATTGATTCCGCAGTTTCCATTAAAAAACCTCGATATATGGTTTTTAATCAAGTTTGCCAAAGTCAATTGTCATCTCAATTAATGAATCTATATTTATTTATATATGTACTGTTGATTGTGCAACCAAAGCACCAAACACCCACCATACCGATAATAGAACTCTATCAGTGTGTCGATTAAAAGGTTGCCAAACATCAACAGCCTCCTCGACAGTTATAAGCACTACATAAAACGAGACAACCCTATTAGATATGTGAAAAGAGAATTAGCCGTGAAAACACCTACCCACAAAGTCTAGTAGGAATGATGTTGAAGGAAAGGAAAAAATGAAATGTACTTTAACAAGGAGAATGTGAATCTAGTCAATTGTACTTAGCACATTGTTATGACATCATCTTCACATATGCATGTTAATTTTGCAACAATGTGCGGTTACATATATCTTATATTACTATGAATGCCATTCACGTTTGCCGATTTTCGAAATGTCGTTGAGAAGGCTAATGATTGCACGTGGACTGGTTATCGTTTTTTTTTAGTTGATGTAACGGAACTCTCCCTGAGCAATGAGATTGGATTTAATTCTTTAAAAGCATTCATCAAAAATAGTTCAAGAATCTATATGTGAGTATGAGTGTGGGCTGCGAGTGGTGTGGATGTGGATTTTGGTGTTAATAGAATGCTGATAGTCATTCCCAAACCAAAACCCACGCTCACACTCTATTCAATTCAGTTATTTAATCACGACGAATTGTACTGGGTGTGGGTGTTCTGTCAATGAGTGGACAAACTATTGAGAATATTGTTATCAAAATGACATTCATATTTAGCCAATTGCCTAACAAAATAGAAAAAAAAGCTTTTATATTCAAATAAAATCATATTTTGTTATAGGTGACACAGACTCCACGTCTATCGTTTCGTAAAAGTATAAAATACACTCGAAATACATTTTAGTTCAATATCAATTGACGGTTTTATTATGCGAACTGTATGATTTGTTTCATTTGGATCGATTTTCTAGGAAAATTTGTAAAGGATACTTATCATCATATTGTAAACATATGATTTACATATATAGGTAGAGATGTAGATATAAATGTGTACATTGTACATATAATAGGGTATTAATCAAAGAATCGACTTCGATAAAGGTTTTCGTCAACAGCTAATAGTACAGCAATATCATTTTCATTGAGAAGCATATTTAATATCTATAGAAACGAAATGGAAACCATATTTACAGCTGACAAATGATCAGTTTGAAGCCATTTTTTTCTTTTCTTAGGATCATGATAAATATTTTTAATGTTTGACTCGAATAGATTTGTTAGAACAACAATCATCATGTTTACAAAATAAAAACAAAAACATAAAAACAATGAATCCTTTTTTACTGATAAATCTGTTTGTGATCTGGATTTTGCTGATAGTTTGAGGGAATTAAAGTAAGTAAAATCAAGTTGCTGGGTTAACTGTGTGTTGAGCCGCTGTTGTTATTACGCAGGATTTGAACCACCTTTACCCGATGTATTGTTACGTCCAGTTTGTGTCGTTGTTTTTGTATTAGCTTGGGGAGAAAAATAGAGAAAAAAAATGAGATAATGAGCTTCAAATGGTAAGTGAATGCTAACTTGTTCAACAACATTCGACTAGACAAGATATTTAACTTAGCTGAAAAGGACAAAAGAGCTTTATATCAGTTTTCTCAGGTCCAATTCATTTTCTTTCAAAAAGAATAAAGCTATCTTTTTAGAGAACAAGAATTCTAAAAAACTGATGAATTCAGTTACACTCATACTCATTTCTGTTAAACAAACCTGCTGAACTTGGGATTTGGTCACGTCTTGGTGGTTCTGGTTAACGAAAAAAAAAGAAGAGTTTTATTTGTGAATGAAATTCATACACATGCACACAGACGTTTTGATTATCCAATACTTGTGGCACCACTAGCTCCACTCATTGTTGGTGTAGTTGAAGATACTGATCGACCATGTCTGAATCTGATGATGCTGTATCCAATGTTGAAGAGCTTGTTGCAGAGCCATCACTAAAATCACCTTTTGCTTGAGCAGATGTTGATGAGGGTCCAGATTTGTACAACGATTGAAGGCGTGCTAAGACTACACGAAAGGTTTTGGTTGGCAACAGACGATAAAATGAAGACATGATTGACGGATTTGTTGTTGAAAATTAAGGACACGTTTTTGGTTTTATCTTAGACGAGAAAAGAAAGAAGGCAATTAATGATAAAGATCATAAAGTCTATATTCTTCCAGGGTAAAACAAACATAAAAACATAGAAAAAGTAAGGCTTTACTAATTTTGTTGAAACACTGATGAAACAAAACAAAATATACAATGAAAACATTTTAATGCAAGAAACAATCAAGGTGATGATCCAAACATTTCGCACCATCAATTGACTAAATTGTTACCTTCCGTTAATGAATGAACAATTTCATCTCCTTGATGATCAAACATTTTTGTTAGTAGTAAGCCCGACATTCGTTAAAGATCTCTGATACAAACTGACATCCTTCTTTCTCTTACAAAGTTTCGACAGTGCTGCCTCTCTCTGGCCGTCTCCGTTTTTCTTAGTGTAAGTTTTTACAATGACTTCTCAAAGTTGTCGTCATCTTTTCATGTAAGAAAACATGGATAGATATTGACAGAGGGCAGAAAGTTCTCCTAGATACCGGAAATTCTGTTTAAAAGTTTTCTTCTATGAGGTGTATCCTTCGATCTGCATAAGCTAACCTAAAACATCTATCCATACAAGTCGTGTGAACTCAAAGGCTACTCTAATTTTTCCCGATCTACAAGAGAAAAGTAAACCGATCACACTAAATCTCCCTTGCCTATTGAGCGTGTCGATGAACAATAAAATAGTGTGATCTGCAGAGTCTCTCATTGCAGAAAGAACGAGAATGAGAAATAAAATAATGGGACAGGTAAGGAGAAAACAAGAATCGATGAATACATATGTAAAAGAAAAGTAAGCAAAATCCAGCTCTGAAGTACTTTCAAAAGTAGATTTTGAACAGAAAAAGTATTTATAAGTGAAAGCCTTTTAAGAATTTTTCATACTTTTTGACTAGAAAGTGCTATTAAGTACTACTGAAAGTGCGGAAAAGTACTCAAATCCTTTAGGAAAAGTGAAAAAAATGAACAAAATTTAATTTATTTTTTCTTATTCACATTAAAAGTACTTAATCGTCTTGTCTTAAATAAAAAACATTATTAAGTACTTTTAATATGAATAAAAAATAAAGTAAATTTTGTTCATTTTTTCCACTTTTCCTAGTGGATTAAAATACTTTTCCATACTTTCAGCAGCACTTAATAGTACTTTCTAGTAAAAAAAGTATGACAAATTCTTAAAAGGTTTTCACTTATAAGTACTTCTCTTGTTCAAAGTCTTACTTTTGAAAGCACTTAATAGTTAGGTTTTGCTTAATTTTCTTTTACATGGATGTTCATTGATTAAGATGGTTAAGAAAGAGAGTACAACCACTGAAAGACGGAAAAGATCAACGAGTGCTCAAATATGGATGAAGATGCACAATATATGAAAAAAAGAGAAACAGAACAGAAGGAGAACGAATCACAGTGTTATGGAAAACTATAGTGTCCCTCTACCCGGGTGTGGCATAAGTGATCACAGAAAATCAAACAGGAAATCGTCGAAATAAACTACATACACTTGCACATGCATACACGAAATCTCAATTACACATATGCTGCATGCTTCTTTTGAGCAAATGACGATGATGGTACTAGTCACTGACAACTCATTAGATTTGTCTCTGATCAGCACAAAGTGACATTTTGTCAATTGAAAAAGTATTGCATATTTATTTCTCAATCAGTAAGAAGCATTGCGACCTGTCCACGTAACGGTCCACCTATTTCGGCAAAGTCAGAAAAATGCGAAATTCATGCTTTCATTATATAACTTTTACGTTGTCAAAAGTATTATGTGAGGCGTTTTCTTAATTATTCTTTCAGAGATGTTATCAATTTATTCATTTCGGGGAAACTACAATTAACCTTCTGTAGAAATAAACGTTGATGAAAATATGCCGATTTTTAAAAACGTTATTCCGTCACGACAATTTTTTCTACATCTGAGACGAGGCTATCATATATTTTGAATTGTTTTTTTTTCTATGTATAGCTCGCCATCTCAGCTACAACTTTTCTATAGAAAATTTGTTAATCACATGTGTAGATGATCTAAAATTTTTAGTTCTTCATACAGCACTGAAACCCAGAGTCCATTTTGGGTTATTCCGTCTCGGGTATGTATTTTAGTCATAAAAATGTAAAAGAAAGACAAGAACTAGTGAAACTTTTATGCTGTGTATTGCAGCCCGACTTATATATGTTTTCAAAAAATCAGCCCTATTAGAGTTCAATCTGTTGATATATTCCAGAGATAAAGTGAAAAAAACATTATTCCGTCACGCTTGGACAGGTCGATTGGGTGTGGGTGTAGGTTTGGATGCAAGATGTGAGTCTTATCATTTCGGTCTACACGCACACACAATAGCCACTCTACATCCACAGCCACTCCACAGCCACTCCACACACACTCACGTCCACGCAGCCACACCTGCATCCACACATTCACACTCACATCCACGCATCCACACACGCACACTCACACCCAGCCCAACAACATTCATATATCCTATTTTACTTATCTAGTCTGAGTACTGTTTCTTCTTAAAAATTTCAAAACAAATGCTATAGTTTTTTTGCAAAAGCTGTTAGAGATTCGACTCCTTGTCTTTTTCCTTCTTCCTCTACAATTTTCACCCATTGTTGTGCTGTTACTGTTAACCGCAATTTTTCATAGTTCGACGGATAAGCCGCTATATTGCTTTGAATTCGAGTTATCTTGAATCCGGCGGCTTGAATCATATTTCCTAAAAGTAGTTCTGTCCACGTGTACATATGATTGTTCAAGTCATGCTTTTTATGAGACCATTTCTGTAGTTTCGAATAATTTGATACCGACTGACGTCCTTCATTTTTCACTTGAATTTCTAGCATTGAACCAGAACGCATTTTCGAATATAATTGTCTCAAAAGTATTATCGGAGCTTCGACATGTTCCAATACAGAAATTGAATACGCATAATGAATTGAATTGTTCGGTAATTCAGCAACACAGCGAAATGTTGTTAAGTTGTATGTCTTTGCAGCGTATTTTCTTGCATGAGAGTTGATTTCGACACAAAATTTCGTCGCACACTTTACCGTATTTAATACAGCACCCGCTGAACATCCGATTTCTAACACAGTATATTCCGGTTTTATACGACCCCATCGTGTTGGATCAGAATGAGCGGCTTGAAACATTTGATGTCGTTTTTGCCATTTAAAATAGTCAGCATCATAATACTCTTCATATGGAGACTTGGAACCACACAAATCATTTTTTATTTCAATTTGTGCTCGTGAACCATTGTACATAACAAACCAATCGCTAAACGTCGATGACCAATATTTAAAATTAGTTTTATTATTACATCGAAGAACCAATATAATATAAGTAACAGTCAGTAGTGAGGAAACAAATATTACTGACCACTTCATAGAATACTTCTTTAGGGTGTGGATGTGGATATTCGTGCGGTTGAAGAAATGGTTCATACTCATATCCAACACCTAATTAAACATGAACATTTGAATCGAATGGTCGATTATGGTCAAACAGTTGACGATTATATAGCATAACTGTTAACTATCAGGAAAAATTGTAATCTCAAACTAAAATAAAGTTCGCTCGAATTCAGATTTAAGAAGGTAAAATAATTCAAAATGGTCACCTTGATTGTTGTCTTTGTCTTTGAAAAAAATACAACTACTTGATGAATGAAAACAGAAGGTGAACTGCATTTTTTCTTTTTTCATCTCAGCGAAAAAGTCGAGTCCTTCAAAGAACAGTACAACCAGTGAATGTTTGATTTGCATGTACACAAATTCGAACAGTAAAAATAACGGAGCATTAATGTTAAATCACTTGAAGCTTTGCTATTATTTGCATAGAATAGTGCAATTATAAAATGGAGAATGATGTGTTTTGTTTAGTTGCTCTCTTACTTCCAGAAAACATCTCATAACTAATATTCGGATGGAGCATGAATAATCATACTGCTGCATTCTTAACCCTTTTACTGGTGAGGATGTTTGCGACATGGTTATGAATAATTCGAAACATCAATATTTATCTACATTTCGATGTATATATACTCTCAATGTTTTGATCAAGTTCCTTTTCACATGGATGCTACTATTTTTTGAAAAACTTTCAACTAACATTTTTCTTATTTTGCTTGAATTCCAGTGACTATCGTGATTCTTCTCAATTTGATGCAGGTACTACATATCATGCGGGCGATGTGAATGCTCATAAACAGAATAATCACACCGGTTTCGACATTCTACCTAAACGTCCTCCATTTCTAGTGATCGGTCTCGGTTTTCATTTAATATCGATGATGAACAGCGATATCACGTTTGATTGCAAGAAAACTATTGAATCATAATCCTTCTGGTCTGTTTGTCTTCAACGTAGTCAGAGTAAACCATATAGAAAGAAAAAAAATTCTTTGTGCCTATCGATTTCTTCCATTTCTTCAAGCTACACATACTGTAAAATATTCGATATGATTCACTTGTTTCGACAAAATCAAGATGAAGACAATTATATCATCGGAAAATATTCGCAAGAGACGTATCATTAATCTAAGTATTTTTTGACTATCTTAATATTTATCTGAATGCAAAACACTGTTTTGTCAGTTTTTGACCAGTTTTAATACGTTCGAAATTGTGAAGTAAAGACTGATATGGATAAGACAGAATGACCTTTTTTATCATGCAAATTATTAGAAAAAAAATGAGCGAAAGAAATTATAAAATAAATGGACAGAAAAAATGTCGATCGTATGTTGTATTTCTATCATCAAGCTTAAAAATAAAAGCACGCATATACCCAGAGAAAAATTTTAGTGATTTAATCCGAATTATATTGCGCTAAAATCAAAATTAAAATCGATTGGAAGTCTTCAATTATAATCGACTATGATTGGATCAAAACTTAATTCTACTGCTTGTACAGCGAAAATTTTACTGATTAAAATCTGATAATTCTGCAGCATAATCGAAATTATCCATCTGATTGTGATTATAATTCTGCTGCAGAATAATCAGATTTTAATCAGTAAAATTTTCGCTGTACAAGCAGTAGAACCAGGTTTTGCTTCAATCATAGTCGATTATAATCGAAGATTTCCAATCGATTTTAGTTTTGATTTTGGTGCAAAATAATTCGGATTAAATTACTAAAATTTTCCACTGGGTACGTGTACAAGCTAGGAATCGACAAAGTTGACTTTATTTGGCATCGCAATAGTATCGCAATCGGCAATATGAAATATTTTTGGGATCAGAATCAGAATCATCAGTTCCGATTTCAATTTGGAACGGCTTATTCCGTGATTAACAAATAATTATAAGCTATTCACGCTAGCCTTTGAATTAAACATATTTTTGATGCTAAACAGAGTTGGAAGTGTCTTCTTTTGCTGTTTATCAAATGTTTGTTTATATGTTTCTAAATCACTAGCTCTCCTGTTTGTTAAGATGCAGAGAAAAAAGTGCATAATCTTTTATGAAAATATTGGCAGTTCCAACATTTTTCACTGTCGAAGTCGAATCGTGTCGGAATCGCCTCTTCTTAGTGCGTGTTTAGGAACAAGTGGATGAATGACTAGAATAAATAATATAGTGAGGGTAATGAACGAAAAACTTCAGGTGTTGAAAATCAAAGAAGTGATAAAAAGAACTAAAGCAGTAGAGAAACGAAGGAATAAAACGAATGTCGAGCGTAACCATCTGTGGAACGAAATAAAGAATAAAAAGAAATAACAGTCACAGTTTGTGAACGGAATAAACCGCGGATTACGTGTAAAACGACAGACCGGCCCCGTGAGTCTGTAAACCCGTGACAAATCTAACCTGGGCATCTGTTACGGGTCGGGTTGACGGGTTGTCTGGATCGGGTCAAAATGGGTCAACCCGTGAACATCTCTGGTCTACATTTAGACGTTATTATCTGCTATGTTGTAGTATTGTCATGATTGCTTCAAACTAACAATGTCATGGCTTCGCAGTAACACTATGATGTTAGTGCTGCTGACAAAGTACTGTTCAAGTCTTCTGCTACACTTTCTATAAACAGTGTTTTACGAGGCTTTTGATTTAGATCTGCATTTTAATTTAAATCTGTATGTGAGCAAAATCAACCTAAACGAGGCATAACACTTTTCCACTTGATTTTGATTCTTTATAAGGAGTATTTTATGAACAAGCTCTCTTGTTATGAACATATGATAACAACATCGGTTCTTTCAGTTCCCAAACAATCAAATCCGGTTAACGAAGTAGCTAATAAATTAAAACGTAATTAGCATATACCTCCCTAATCTTATGGTGCAACAGTCCAAGAATTTCAGCATAGAGTCCCTATCACAAGCTACATCTAGAATGGAATTTCCAGCAACTGCTGACTCTAAGAAACGGCTTCAACAAAATCAGTGCTCCACAGATATATACATGTCTTAAAATGACACTTTTTATTTTGCTATCATCTTGAAATCCTCGAGAATGATTTTACCATGTATAATGATTTTCCGAACTTGTTATTCAGTTAATAGAGGACTTTTCATTTCTATATTCGTACTCATTCAAGTTGCTAACAAGGAATAAATTCAGTCTTGTGAAGAACTTGAGCACTTTCAAAAAAGACTTTGCATAGATATTTTCTTGAACGAAAAGTTCATCACAAAAAGTACTATTTGTTTTTCAAACCAAACTGTTTGGACCTATCGTATTTGAACATCGAAATGAGCGCAATGAAAACCCTAGTTCTTTTCTTTGTATCACATCGCACTATCAGTAGTTATTCAATAATAGCTCGGCGGAATAAATATCATAGTACTGAGTTTTTCAGAGCACCCGGAGTCACTCAACATATATTTTGTGTACCGAAAGTAGCTAAAACGAAGTATCGCGTACAGAAATATATACAGCCTTATTCAAATCCAACACTTTATGATATGATATAGAACAACGTTAGAATGTATGCAATTTATCGTGTACTCGAAAACTTCTTTTCTTTTCAAATCAAACAATACGTATTTTTTAATTCGACTGAAATGTCTTTGAAGTAAATCCAAGGTTTTTGCTGCACATGACTTGTGGTTTTATTCTCTTAATGAAAGATACATTGAGTAAAAGAGAAATTTCTATGTGACTTGAAAAGGAGGACACTATTGCACAGTTCTGATAAAAGTACTGAAGCATTCAAAAGCAGTCACCCAATACTTTACGTTTAAGTTGACTTTAACTTCAATCATGTATTTAATATTCTTATTGATCAAGCTTGCATATTTTATTGAGCAAAAAAAACTACCTTTCTTTGACACAAACAAAATAACATTAAATAAGTCGACAAAATTAGACATTAGCGTTCGTGTATTATCTCTACAATGGCACTTAGATTAACACCTATATTCCTGAACTCAGCCCATAAACACACTCACATTCACCCACAAACCCAAAACAGAATCCTTTCAGAAAACTAGTTCGACATCAACGGATTCATCTTATTTTAAATTCACTTACTTCCTGTGCTAAGAATTCAATGCGATTAAGGTATCTCATTAGAATCAGCAGAAACCTCTGATCAACTATTAAATGGATTCTTCCTTATAATATGAAATCCTAATTGCATCGTTCCTTTTTTCTATTTTTTGGCAATTAGTCACACGAAAATTGTAAAATAAAATCTTACGGATAATTTATATATGCTAATTAAACGTGCTGTGATGGCCGAGTGGTTAAGGCGTCTGACTAGAATCATGAAGTGGAAGTGACTAGTAATCAGATGGGTTCTCCCGCGTAGGTTCGAATCCTACTCGCAGCGTTTATTTCTTTTTTATTCATTTTTAATGTTTAGTCATATCGAAGCGATGAAATCGAATATTTCCGAAACTTAAAATGCATTTAGTAACCGTGCTGTGATGGCCGAGTGGTTAAGGCGTCTGACTAGAATCACGAAGTGAAAGTGAATAGTTATCAGATGGGTTCGCCCACGTAGGTTCGAATCCTACTCGCAGCGTTTAATTTTTTTTTTGTTGAGCTAAATTCTTATCGCTTTGTTGTGAAGACAGTCATTCACGATCATCTTCTATTATTGAGCTTTGATTTGCGAATCATATCAGTTTGATTCCGAAAAAATCGGGAAAATCTCAGAAATATAATAATGCGATGGTATATATTCATTTAATTGGTATTCTAAATCGATTGACTAATAGTTGATCTTAGTAGTTTCATATTCCACTTACTATTACTACTAGGTGGTAAGTAGCACTGACTAGTAATTGGTAAATAGTGACCAATATCGCTCATTAGTTATTAGATAAGTGATGCATATCACTTCCAGGTAAATGGTTTATATTTAACTGAAGGTAGACTATTTATGTTATTTTATCAATCTTGTGCCAGATTAAATGTATTCCATGTACACATTGACAAGTGTGGCACTGTGTGAATGAGAGAATATGCATAGTATGAAGAAGTACCAACAGTCTTTCACGATGATCTACCGATCTTGAAATTGTTAAGCTCTCGCGAAAAGTGTCAATGTATCTACAAACCGAGCGGCCTTGTGACATTCCCAGAAGTGTATAAGCACATCGATTGGTCATTGCTCAATAGATATCTGCTCGTTCGAAGCCGTCAAAAAACATTCGAATGAAATTTGATAGGTTTTTCATAGATTTCAGCCTTTGAGAACGGTGGTATATGCGTTGTACTACCAAGTTTTCAGCGGAGAAGGAATTGTTTGTTCTTCATTAAATCGTATATTGTCACTGACGAAGTCTCTCTGCTCTAAATTCAAGCGGCAAAAACCCTAGATTAAAAGCAAACTAGGTATTATGCCGACCTTGCATCCAGGCCAAGATCCTTTTTAGATCCCGTACGAACTTACCAAGCTGAAAAGGCTCGATGAGTTCGTACGGAATTCTAAAAAAATTTCTCCTAGATACAGGTCTAGCGACATATCAATTTCATTTTAGAATGGGGAAGACCCCTTTTTTGAAAAGAGATCTAAATAAGAGGTTGTGGGTGTGGATGAGGGAAGAAACAGAAGATTTACTCACACTTAGAGGGCTGCAGGGTGCAGTATGTTCGTAACCTGTAACCTGCCCTGTAAAAATTCTGCAACCTAATCCTGTCCTGCCCTGTGAATTTTTTCGCGTACCCTGCCCTGTCCTGCCCTGAGACTTTTTTTCATAACCAGTAACCTGCCCTGCCCTGCCCTGCTATATTTGATATTACCAAAAAAATTCATAACTTTTCATCGACTTCGTATATCAATTCTTCTACTTTATGTTGTATTTTGCTTCGATATTCTTCTTCGTATAAAATTTTTCAAAAGATGTCTATAATGTTTGATTCGATAAATTAATAGCAGGTTAACAGGTTATGACAGGGCTGCCCTGTAAAAATTTCGTAACCTGACCATGCCCTGCCCTGCTACTTTTGCAACCTGCCCTGTCCTGTCCTGGCAGGGCAGGGCAGGACAGGACAGGTTATGGGCACCCTGCAGGGCTCTACTCACACTCACGCCCTAAGTGAACCTATTATAGAGGCCGAAATAAAAAAAAGCTAACTGTTTAAAACAGATATCGCTATACTACAGGAGCTTGTTTAAAACACATGACTACACACTCTATATGTCTCTCAACATCTGAAGACTAGCAAAAATTACATATTTTCCAACAGTTCCTACTTTTTTCGCTAAAATATAGGTAAAATAGGAATTTTAATCGAAAAATAGGACAAAATAAAGGATTTCTCAAAAATATAAGTATTATAGGAAATATAGGTCGAATCCGAAGCCAAGTGTTTATCATTAAAAAACTACTCAATTATTGTTAGTAAGTCCTAGATCGATCATTTATAATACACTTTTGTATAATAATCTTCATCACGAATCTTTGATTGCAAGCAGGTGAATGATTTTCAGTTAATTGATACAGGGATGCAGAATCTACGTTCACATAGTAGCAATGCTGTCTGGAGAAACGGAGCTTCAGATGCATTCCGTAATATACGAGCTCATATGACTATAAAATCTTGAGAAACTTTTCAGCTTATTCTGCTTGATGTCTGGAGACTCTGGCAGATTCTGCACCACTGACAATAGATCGTTTACATTAACGATTCTTAAGACTAACTGAATGGCTGGTAAAATGACACGTGATAATTCAAATGGTCAAGGAATGTCATGAAAGGTAGCTGATGGATTCATCGATAAGTGTCGTAAATGGCCTACCTTCATTTCAAAACAAACCACTAACCACTTAGTAATTAGCGATAGGCAAGGAAGATTTCCATACAACGACAAATAATCAATGCTTAAATTAACTACTTTTTACTGCCATATAGGAAAATTTTCAATAATAAAATACTTATTGTTATTTTGATAAATGGAAGTAGAAGTAACAGTGAGTGTGGTATATCTACCGTGGATAGGCCTCGAAAAGTTATACTGTTTACATCTACATAATCTCGAAAAGATAAAGAAATCACCGTTAGATGGCCCCTTGAAAACTTAAGGAGGCCATTTCTAGAGGACTGTTGCTAAGTGATCGACTAACTCACATAATGCAACCTAAGCGACTCAAGAAAAAACACGTGATGATCTAACTAGGTATGCACCACTCTTAGTCCCTACTAGGGACTGAATCCAAACTTAATGAATCTGCAGGAATACCTACTGATTCGTGTTCTATAAATACCAATCATCATTCATGTTAGACACAATCGAATTGGATACTTCAGTCAGAATAGAACCCAATCGGACTGGCATTCAGTCGCCGATTGGGTCCTAGTCGGACTGTACTGATGCATGCCTAAATGTAATTATTCAAAAAAAAAGGCCACGAAAGATTTATGGTGAAATCATCAATTATGTGTCGTGATTGATCTGTCTTCAATTAGATACAAACTACTTATCACTTACCAGTAAGTGGTAAGTGGTGAAGATTACTATGCAAGAATAAATAATCAATAACTAACATGATCATTTATTAGTGCTATACCGATAATTTTTCGATGGTTACAACACTTACTACTTACCTGATAAGTAAAAGTGGTGGTAAGTGGTAAGTGTGACACCCCTGGTTTCAAGCAAAAATAATGAAGGATTTTACAGCCTATGCATTATCTGTGGTAAAAAAGTCGCTATCTTCTCTTAGAATCTAAACTCGAACAATGTAAAATTTTGATTGGCTTCGTCATAAAAAAATATTTTCAAAATTTATTTTCCCATTTCGATGAAGAATTAAATAATGGTGCTAATATTACAGTTTGAATTAGTGAAAACATGTACTCTGTCTATTTTTAAAAAAGAAGTTCGTGGTGTTTTATTGCTGCAAACGAAAATTAGAGTTTTTTTTTTATATGAAAGAAATTTTTGTCGTAGTTTCGCGCTGAATTAGAAATAAATTATGCCTAAGGTCAGTTTTGCCTAGAGTTTTATTTTTCTTAAAATATGTAAACAAAAACAATAAACCCAACGAATTTCGATAACTATTCTTATATATAGTTGATATCTAGTTATTACAGTTGTACATACTCATCTTTATAAATTTCGAACTTCTTGTTCTTGAAGCAAATCTATTTTAACGATATTAAGGCAAAAAAGGATTCGATGCTTAATAGCAACAATATATTATTTAGTGTATATGATATATGCATTTCTGCCTATTGATTAGCACTCTGATGTAATACTCAAGAAAATATCTTTGTACAAAATGTACAAATTATAAATAATTCAAGAGAAATATTATTAGAGAAGGGACTAAAGAATGTTCTAGGTTCGTCAACTCAAGAATGGTATCGACTGTCAATAGCTAATGTTTTTTAAGCGTCCCTGTTGACAACGGTAGATCATCAGAGAAGTCTTAATGATGTTGTACGAATAAGTATGACTGTTATTATCAGTGTTTTCGTGATCCAGCAACATTATACATCTGCACTCAAACTCACATCCACATCTTTCTGGATAACAACATGCTCGTACAGCAGTTGTATATTCATCAACAAATGAAGATGTTCTATGCAGACAATAATAATTGCATTATGTATATTCAAATGTGTCAACTTGATGAGTTTTCAGTAAAACAACGCATTATAACATCTCTGGCAATGGATTCTTTCAAGATGTATGTTGTCTAATGAGAATAATATGTCGACCATCTATGCTGTCCCTTCATGGAACAATCGTGTCAAAAAATTTGATCAAATAAACATCAAATGACTAACTGAGATGTTTGGTGTTTATGTATTTGAATTGGTAAATAGAGAAATGTTTAAATGGTAAAAGGGTATGGATGGCTGTGGCTGGCCATTTTTCGAAACAAACTTCACTGAAAATTATCTAAACAATGTACGAAAAAATCGCATTTTTTACATGTTTTATATAGGAAAAAAATAGTGTTTTTTTCAATAAATTCAGCTATATTTCAGTAGTATTCTCAAGTAAGATATTTGAAAATATGCCCGTCTGATACACTATGAGAACATGCATCTACTGGTATAGCTTTCAAATGTTTGCATGTGGCATAATCAAACAATTGTTGAGCCTCAAAAGTCTCTTCCGTCAAGAAATCTGTTTAACTATGCCAGCAACGCATCAACTCTTGCTAGCTCTATCATTTATCCTATGATTTTATGTCATTTTATTCGCCATATGATGGGAGAAAAAAGTGATGTATCGGTTTAAAAAATATTTTACTATTGATGAAATCTTTATGATCACCAAAACTTATATTCGGAATCAGCGCATCAAAATAATCGTAAACTGCCTAGGCACCATCAGAAAATAAGTCTCGACAAGATTTTGTCTCCAGGGGTACCACAAGGAAAAATTGAGGGGAAAAACTCACCGGAGAAGTACATGTGACGTTTTTATGGGACATAATTTTTGATGATGTCTATTTCCGATAATGATACATTTTTGAAAAACAAAATCTCGAAATACCGTACTATTTGTCTGATATTGATCCATAGATAGGAGAAAAAATGGATTTTTTCACTATTAGTAAAGTGTTTTTTTAACTGGATACGTAACCTTTTTTCCCTATCTTATGACGAATAACATGCCATAAAATCATACGATAAATAAAGGAGCTTGTAAGAGTTGGCACCTTTTTCGTCTCGTTTAATCGATTTCTTAAGAAGAAACATCTTGTTAGGTTCAATAATTTTGCGATTATGCCATATGCAAGCCATTTTGATAACTATACCAATAGATGCAGCTTTCCATGCTGCATCGAATGAGCATATTTTCAGGTCTTTCGCGTAAGGATGCAAACCAAGACTCGTTTTTCCATATACGACATGTAAAAAATATGATTTTTTTTGTATATTCTCGGAATATTCAAATCAAACATAGTCCTCTCTATCAGAAATCATTCACATTAGTATCTGATTCAAATTGCTTTTTTGAGTATGAAGGGGCTCTTACTCATGATCTTGTTTAGAGTTTTTCTCTTGCTTTCCACAGAGCAACCTTCAGTCAATCACAGAGGTATTGTTCTTCATAGTTGTTCTGGTGTAAAAGTTCAATACAAGGCTTCAGACAGAGATTATTTTCAGATAACCAACATATATGTCAATTTTAAATCAAAATCTACTTTGTATAGAAGTTCTTGTTACTATAACCGATGTTATTTCAACAATAAGTTGACCTTCATCACAGAAGACAATTTTTGTGGTATGAAAATCGACAATATCATATCATCGATACTAACATACTTCGTAAAACAACCGAGACTTGCTTTGTTAGTCTGATATTTTTGTCATATGTTGCTTTTTCAATTTTCGATTACTGTAATCCACAGAAATATTTTTCGAGTTTCTCTATTGATTATACGAAGTGCAAAATACACTACGACTCTCATAGTGCCCAGCTTGTTGTGCGCAAGTGAAACACCAACAAGTAAGAGTGCATGTTTAACCTCTTTATTGTTTTTGGGCTTTCTTTTCAACGAAAAATATATCCTTGATAAGAACAGTTTTTATTGAGAAAGACGATATGAGAATAAAACCGACTGACATATGTCTATACCAACATTTCTACCTTCGCCTCTCATATAAAGAGGTTTTAAAGTCATAAAATAATACAATCAACTTTTTTGCATAAGCTATGGATACTGGTAATTTTTGTATTTCTGATTCTTTCTTATTAATTCAATTTGTTTATAAGGTTCAATCTATGCATTGATTTTGGCTCTCGTTATGAGCTCAATAAGTGAAATAACAGCAAAACCTTCTAATCCTCGTTTCATTTTCATGTCTCCAGAATCTGATCCATTTGTTGATCGTTACATGAAAACAATCAGTCGTATGAGCACAAAAGAAATAATGAATTTGCCTAAATTAAGTGATGTTGAATTTTTGGATCAACTTGAACGTGGATATGATTTCATTCCAGGTAAGAAGACTTGAAAACACATGGCACTAAAATAATACAAAGATTTTAATCGAATCGAAATCAAACTATCATAGAATATGCAAATTGTTTTATATAAATGAAAACAAAATTACATTAAAATCTGAACGATTTTCAGAGTAATACTTGCTCTAGATATTGTCAATCTACTTCTTGAAAAATATCTCGAATATTTTTTCAGCCTTTTTGTCGAAAACAATAAATAAATAGTTCGTTATTTCTGCGATGCAGGCTTTTTTTTACAGTTTTTCGTACAATCAAAAAAATAACTATCTCAAAGAAAAAACATTCAATCATGTATAGTTTGAAAAAGTCAATTAATTAAAAAAAAAGTTCTTTTATTACTTTCTCTAATTATCTCTATGATATATAGTGTCCACGAAGAGTCTCAATTCTATAAATTTATTCGATTCAACTATCGACGAGCCAATAGAATATCAACCAGATTTAGAAAATGAATGGGAAGATCTAATGGACGCTGGACCAGCCAGTATTAATTTATTAGGTTCTGTGATGGCTATTGCAAGTAGAAAAGACTTTCCACTCAAAACAGATTTTAACTATACACTTGTTAAATATCCTGAATCTTTTCAAGCTACTCTTATGCAAGTTTCTCACGATATGTACAGAGCATTATATGGCGCTCATACAAGTATGGAAAGTATTCAGGTTAGTATGCGGCAGATTCCGACACTCTTGAAAACCGCTATTAAACTCATTACTCAAGCGTCAACGGTATTGAACAAGGCACTATTACCTCGAACTTTAGCAAACATTGGCCGATATGCTAATGAAAGTGCTGCTGTTGCTCGAGCTTCGCTTGAGCGATTTGAATATCTTCAAGTTTTGCTACATGAAGTTCTTGAAGTGACCACTTTAACCAATAGTGATAATAAAGAAACAGCTGAGAAATTAGCAGCAGAAGCTGAAGATATAAGAAAAGAAAAAAAGGAAATGGATAATGTTATTGCTGACATAACAGCCCAATACGAAACTGCACGAAAAAATTTAGAAAAGACTCGACAAGATTATCATAATGCTATGAAGAATGTACCAGGTGATGGTTGGGATTCCCATGCGTGGAATGTTTATGCTTCTCAGCGTCCTGCAGAGACCTGCAAGCGGAATTGGTATGGACGACGTCGTTGTAGATCTCTGCGGGATCAACAATTTGCTGATTATAGTGCAGAAGCACAGCAAAAGGCTCAGCAAGCCCTGGTAAGTTGTTTTTTTATCTCCAATTATTTGGTTTTTAAGTTTTTTTTAAAGAATATTCTTAAAGAAGCAGAGAAAAACAGTAAAAATATTTATAATCAGCAAATGAATAAACAAAATGAATTGGAGTCTGTCATTAATAATTTAACAACAATTAATTTACATGAATTATCTATCAATGAAACAATTAAGATTTTGCTTGATGCTACAAAAAATATTGCACTACTTCAAGGTCAATGGAGTCGTCTTAGTCGATTTTTCAGTACTCTTACTATTAATACAGAACATACACAAAAAGTAAGACAAACGAATGATGCCTATGCTTGTCTATGCTTTGCATGGCTGAAGTACTTGAATAATACGTTAATGTTGTAATTGTAGGTAATTTTACAAGATTTCCTTGGCGTCATTTCTGATGCTGAACTTATTGGCAAACCGTTGGACCCAATTGATGAGACACTCTTCCTTGTATTATTAGTGGAATCAGTGACTGATATTGATCGTGATTCTCATTTACTTTTTCTTATGGCTAAAACATACTCGGATGTATCAAATGCATACATGATAGAACAAATAGCTGAGTTATCTGGCGTTCTTTCATTACAGAACGATGACGACCGAGAGACTTATTTGAAAGAAGTTGCGAACAAAAGTAGAAAAATATCAATGCAAGTTAAAGATCTAGCAACTGACCGACAGAGAGAATATGAATTGGTAAATTTTTCTCGTCAAGAGCAGTATATGAAATATATTGAAGAAGGAATGTTAAAAGAAGAATTGAATATTCTCAGTAATATCGGAATCGGAAGACGTTGATTATACATAAAGTGGAGCCGTTTACTTTTGACATAAACGTATAGAATATGGTCAGAACGAGTTATATTCTTTAACCCCCACTTGTACTTGATTAATATTATGTTTTTCGATTAAAGTCAATAAAAATTAGACGCTTTCTCCATCTTATTATCATTATATTCAAGAGTCGTAATTATGCTATTAACTGATATTATTTCTTTTAATATTCTTGTGATCATTGTCCCCCTTAAACGATTATTTCATTGATAATTCAGAAACATACAGCTAAAAATCAACAAACTATTGGCGATGAATTTCTCATGTAGCATGTTTGTTTGCACTACCGGTAGAATATCACGATACTCATAAAAAACCGGCACTATGACTTACGACTTTCGGTTCTAGCTATCTCAACGGTTGCAGAATGTTTTTTCTATCAAAATTTGAATTCTTTATCAGAAAGAATTAAAATTAAGCGAGAAAGCTGATTTAAAAGATATGTGAATAATACAAATTTATCTCATAATGGAGGTTGATTTGGATTCTATGGCTAGAATAGGGCAGCTCAAGCGTATCAACGTTCTCAGAATACATAGAAAATATCTCGTTTAAGTCAGTTTTAAGAAGCCTAAAAAAATATTCTGTCGTTTTGATACAATACACCAAGATACACTGCTTTCGAAAAAACTAGCAGTGAACCATCGGCATAATGCACACAATACCAATCAGTATGGCGTTGACAGTTTCCTGATAGTTATCACATGAGTCATCAATCGAGAAATCCTCATTCCTATGAATTTATGTTTTATTAAAATAGAAGAAAATTACGTTAATGCTTCTTGTTTTTTTTCATCAACGGAATGATCATAGCTCTCATCTGTAGTATATGTATATTAGTCACTTGCCATGAATCTACTTTTTTAATATTCTGATATTTAATACATAGATGGTCAATATAGAGTGTGGGGTGTGGGTGGATGTGGGTGTGTGGGTGTGGGTGTGAGTGTGGGTCTGGGTGTGGGGTGTGGGTGTAGGTACGGGTGTTCTTCTGATCTACCATCATATCAGAACCAACAGCCACACCTCACACGACACCCACACTCACACCCTTATTTTTTATATAGAATTTATGTTTAAATTAAATAAATTATTGCTCATTCAAAATAATTATTTGTCATTCAGATTTATTATTGCTCATTTAGAATTATTATTGCTCATTCAGTATTATTATTGCTAATTCAATATATTATTGCTCATTTGACTTCTTTATTGCTCAATTTCAATATTGCTCACTTAAATCATTGTATTGCTCATTTAGATTATTTTATTGCTCAATTAAATATAAGTCTTTTTTAAATAAAGATATTTGATACTTCACTTAGAAAAATTTTGATTAAATTTCTTCAAAAATGTTATTATGATCTTCTTAGCAGTTTAATTAAAAACTGCTTTCTTCTAAACACTGAAACTGAAACGAAAAATAAATAAATGACTATAATATGACATTTATTTGTTAGGTTAGCAGTTTATGAACCTATTTCAATATAAATATATATATATGAAAAAATATTCATACATGAATTTTTATTTAAAATATTATTGTTTCAAAAGACTTCATTAGCAATAACTATTTATAGTTGTTCTCATATCTGTATATGAGTGCACAGTACTTAAAAGTGTCCCACAATGTTTATATTTCTCTCCCATATCGCGACTGATAAATAGTTACTGGGAAAAAACCCAGTAGATGCAGTTTATGTTTGCTTCAATCAGTACAAAGATAATAAGATATATTTACCCGTAGAAACGTTTAGTATACTTCAACAAAAGCAAAACAAATGGTTAAATTTATAATTATTAATTACATATGTTGATCCTCGTGCCATTATTAGTCACTTATATTTTATTTCAACGAATGACAAAACTGCTGAGTTGATTGGTATGCTTTTTTTATTCCATGTAATGTTATAAAGAGTGTTTTTAAGCGAAAGCTCCTTTTTATATCTCTCAACAATCATGTTAAGAGAGATATTAATAACAGAGAAAACTTAAATAGTTTTTATTCTATATACGAAGAACTATTTTCAAATATTCATTTTATGGTTTTGTTTTATAAAATAGTGTACCAAAATAAGAATCTAAATGATATTTATCTAGTTTTGTCAGTATGCTTTTGTTCTTCTCGATTGATTTTATGATTAAGAATAGACCAAATCAATAGATTTCTTCATCAGAATCATTCAACATTAGTCATAATTAGTTGAAGGTTATAGAGATTCGTCAAAAAGTCTTAATTAAAGCTTTCCATGAAGATAAGCGACATCTTCAGAAAATTTCATTCAATATTTATCTAAACCACAGGTGAAAGAGCAGAGAAAAATTACCATGTTATTTTTATATTTTTCTGATTCAAATACAAGTAGGTTTTTTTTTATTTTTTTTTGTGTGCACACTCTCCCTTTTGCGTTTTTATTTTAAAATCCAATATTCATTTTTTTTAGCGCCATCCAAGCAACTTTTTGTAAATATTGTCACTGTATATAGAAACTAATCTATCCAATAAATTTTTTCTTCTCAACATCAGATGATAAGAAATAATTTCGTCAATTGACATTTGTTTTGCAAAATATCATTAAAAATATAACTAATGGTTTTTTCATTCATATTCCTGCTCCAGATGAAAACTTAAATGATCAATAATTAAAAAGTGTAAAAGTTTTCTATCAAATTAATTTTAGGTGTCTATGATTTAGGTTTTTTTTAGATGATTGAATTATTTGTTTTTCATGTTTCTCACAGTATATCTATTTATTACAAATATTGTTTCTTCCTAATTAAGATCTTTTTCGAGTATATATATATAAATGAAGAAAAATAAAAATTTACAATTGTCAACTTGTTATGTTTAAGGGGCTCCCCCCCTCAGAAAATCGATTGTTTTTGAAAAAAATCGATTTTGAGATAAGCACACATGCTGAAAGCCCAAAGTGTCCTCTTTCAGATTATGTGCGATTTGTTGCACTTTGAATAGTTTTGGACGGTGAAAAGAACGGTTTTCTGGAAGCACTGGTAGAAATATAAGGTTTTATCAGAATCTTTTTTAGTTAGGGAGATGTGACAGTGGTCAACAAACTTGTAGATTTTGTTTAATGAAAAACACATATACGTTCTATTATATTAATTAATTAGAGAAACGTAGTCATTTCTGCTTAAAATCCTGTATACATGATGAAGTTGCCGTATAGAGGTTGTGACAGTCATAGTGAAATTAAAAATTATTTCATACAACTTTGTTGATTGGTTTTCTCAAAATCACTTTTTTGGAAAGTTAGGAACCGAGTTCTCGAACTGTAGAAGAGGTAGCGAGCTACCATTTTTTTTTAAATAAAAGAAGAGACCTGTGTCTAGAAATGTATATACCATTTTTTCGAAATTCGATTTCCTTGCGGAGATAAATGGATAATACTGATGCCAAAAAGCGCTATTTTTCGAGTTAGTGCAGAAAAATGTCTCGAAAATCCGAACAAAAACGAATTTCGAAAAAACGGTATATACATTTGAAGATTTAGGTCTTCTCTTTTATGTAAAACAAACGACAGCTCTCTACTTCTTCGACAGCCCGAGAAATCGGTACCTTACGAAGATCATCATTTTGAGGACTAATTCGTCAATAACTCATTAAAGCAAAAACCTTATGAGCCAAAAATTTGCAAGACATTAAGTTAACATAACACACATATTGTCTGAAAATTTCAGCCAAATCGGACCACGAATAACGAAAAACGATTCCTGAGGGGGGGGGGGGGGCCTCTTAAGCTATTTTTTCCTGGAAAGGAAGAAGGAAGAGAAGGAGTTTTTTTCATGAAATATGAAAATGAAAATGCGTACTACCGACCATATTGAGGTGTTGGGAGTTTTTATCAATGACAGAACGAGATGAAATGTCAAGATAGCCAGAATTGCTTTACTACTTTTAAGTTTTACATGAATAGATGTATGATTTAATCAGTATGAAACCTTAAATTTTCGCAAAAAAACTTAATGTAAATCACTAAGCACTTGAAAAACTCAGAAGCAGTTATTTAAATACAAACAAAATTCATTTTTTGATTCTGTACACTATCAATATGTATTCATATTTTTACAGCCTGAGCTATGGAATATTTCTGCTTTTAATCTAAATTGAACTAAAAGCTCTAAACTCGAACTCTTGCATCATAAC